ATTTCCCTTCTTCCTCTCTTGTTAGATTTGAGGAGCTCAGGAGGCACACAACATTGCACTGTTTTCCTCCTGTTGCTCAATCGGTTATGCACACAATGGGTCACTCAATTCAGGTTCATTGAATGGAGCCCCTGAGTCCAGAACTGCTCAACAATTCTCATCCCAACCTCCAAACAAAACTGCAGAGATGAAATGCACTCAGGTGCTATGGAGAATAAAATGAGCATGTGTGCTCAGCATTCAGGTTGTCGATGAGTAATTCCCGCACCTTAGACAATCCCAGTGGCATTCTTCAAAGACAGAAAGGAGAGCATAAAATATGATGGCAGAACTGTCGTAGCAGTGATTAAATAAAACAAAGGTAAGGATCATTGGGGTATTTTTAAATGTCAAAAAAAGGATAATAATACACATCAGAAATAAAAGTCCTAGAGAAAATATAGCAGATAAATATGAATAAAAGATTTGGGTCTAGTTTTTAATAAAAGACTGAATTCAAGGTGTCTTTATTATGAAAGAGGAAAAGACTGCAGACTGAAGAAATCATAGATAAAGATGTTCTGATGAATATGAGCACCTGTGATTATACAGCCAGCAAAACCCAAGGGGCCCCGTTCTCATTAAAGCTGTGGAAAAGCATTAGGACCAACAAGCAGAGGCTCCAGTGGTCTGTCGGCCACATACAGCTTTAAGACAAAGTAGCAGGTGAATCCTCAGGTGGCTACAGCGTCACCGCTGCAAAGGGATGCAGAGTGGTGTCATCAAAAAGTGTCGTACTGGGCTTGACGCTCCCTTGTCTACACAGTCAGGGTAAGCTGGGGGGAGAAGGAAAGGGACAGCCAGAAAAAGAGAATGTGCACTGATCACACAGGGGCTATCAGAAGGGGCCGCTAAAGACCAGGCTCAGCCCAAGCATTGAACTCATCTCAGATCCCACCCGAACCACCCTGAGGATGAGGAACTTCACCCACTCTGCCCTGTTCTTGGTTTCTGGGTATAGCACACACTTCAAAGCTCATGCACACAGTGTGCAATACATGTATTTTCACAAAATAAGACTGAGTCAAGACAGCATGAGAGATTTTTTTGCATGCTTTATGGTCAACAAGAAAGAAAAATTATATATATATATATATAAAGTGCGCAGAGTGATATTTTAAGTACACATTGTGAAATAATTACCATAATCAAGCTAAGATATTCATCACCTCATCTTTTTCAACTACTCTCAGCAAACTTCAAGTTTCAAGTACATTATTATTGACCTCAGTCACCATTTTTTAAATTAGGTCTCAAGAGTTTACTCATCATGTTACTGAAAGGTTGTATTCTTTGGCAAACGATTCCTTTTTCCTCCACTCTGTGCCCTGCCCCTGGTGATCATCATTCTATTCTCTTAGATCGTGCTGTATTTCTATGTCTGGCTCATTTAACTTAGCATAATATCCTTCAAGTCACCCACATTATCCCAAATGAAAGTATTTTCTTCCTTTTTAGGGATGAATGAAACTCCATCATCTATTTTATTTCATTTCACCATTCATCTGTCTACGGACACAGGTTATTTCCACATCTTGTCTATAGGCATGCAACTATCTCTTCAAACTCTTGATTTAGTTGTTTAGGAAGGAAACTGGATTGCCAGACCTCATGACAGTTCCATTTTAATTTCTAAGAAACTTCCATATTGTTTTCCCCAATTGGCACACTAATTTACATTCACACCAATGTGAAAGGTTTCTCTTTGCTCAACAATTTTGCCAATGTTTGTTACCTTTGATTTTTTTTTGTATCAGGGATTGAACTTGGGACCTTGTGCTTGTGAGGCAGGCAGTGGACCCACTGCGCTAAATCTCAGACCCACCTTTGATTTCTTTTTTCTTTCTACCGGGGATCGAACTCAAGTCCTTGAGGTTTTGAGGTAGGTACCAGAACCACTGAGCTAAATCCCCAGCCCCACCTTTGATTTTTAATAATAGCCATCCTAATAGATGTGAGACCGTACCTTATTGTGCTTTCAATTTGAAATTTTCCCAATGGCTGATGATGTTGAGCATCTTTCTATGTACTTATTGACTGTGACTGTATCTTTCTGTTTTAATTGAGTTTATTGGTACTTTTTAGGTATACAGTACAGTTACATTTATCATTGGGATCTTGTACCTTTACAGGACAGATCTTGGTTCTCATTTTTTCCCCATGCTCTCTCTTCACCCCCCCCCTGTTTACAAGACTTTATTTCCATTTTTTGGTTTCCTCACATTTTTTCTTTTTCCTTCTTTCCTTTCCCCTACCCTTCCTACTTCCCCTACACTTCTAGCCCTTTTCTTCCTATTTTGCATTGTCAGTTATACAGTTTGGATCTTCTTTACACTTTGAGTTTTTCACATCAAAGAAACTGTTTGGTATTTACACATGTATCTTCTTTATTTCACTTAAGAGTATGGCCTCAATATTCTTCCAGTTTCCTGTGAATGACTCTAGTGTCTCCTTCTTTATGGCTGAGTAGTACTCCATTTTATCTTTTTATTATTTTTCTGAGTTTATTGGTATTTTTTAGGTATACAGTAAAGTTACATCATCATTGGGATCTTGTACCTTTATATGACAGGTCTTGGTTCTTATTGTTCACCATACCCGTGCCCCCCCTTCACCCCTTCCTCTCTTCCCTATTTACAAAAACTTTATTTCCATTTCCTCATATGTTTTTCTTTTCCTTATTTCCTTTTCCCTACCCTTCCCACTTCCCCTACACCTTTCGCCCTTTTCTTCCTATTTCACATTGTCAATTATACCATTAGGATCTTATGTACAATTATAGTTTTTCACACTAGAGAAACTATTCGGTATTTATACTTGTGACATTTATTTCACTTAAGAGTATGACCTCAATATGCATCCATTTTCCTATGAATGACTCCACAATGTCTTTTTGGATCTTCTGGAGCTGAAGAAGTGTTCAATATACTTTGGATATTAACCTCTTAGTGAACATAAAGTTTGCAGACATTTCCTACCACCCTATATGTAACCTTATAAGAAAGGCTAAAGAGATTATCCTGAAATGAAATTATACTAATTAGTAACATGAAACCATGTGTAAGGACAAAAATCAAAGGTAAGCATGTCACCAACTCCAAAGTATAGTACTCAGTTATCATAATGCTGGGTTATAAATGTCACTTTTAACTATGGTATAAGGATTAAAAGAAAAATGTCAAGCATAACTGTATCTATAATTTGCTAGCTGATACCCAATATAGATCAATATAAATTGACATCAAAAAGCATTAAAGCTGGGAAGAATAAAAAGGGAGACTTTCTATATACTACACCATATTTTTATGCCTTCATAATCACAAAGGGAAAATATGAAATACATGCACAGAAAGTGCCGAAAAGAATAAATGCATATCACTGCAGAAAGTCATCAAATCCATTTGCTAGCTGATACCCAATATAGATCAATATAAATTGACATCAAAAAGCATTAAAGCTGGGAAGAATAAAAAGGGAGACTTTCTATATACTACACCATATTTTTATGCCTTCATAATCACAAAGGGAAAATATGAAATACATGCACAGAAAGTGCCGAAAAGAATAAATGCATATCACTGCAGAAAGTCATCAAATCCCTAAAGGGGAGAACTGTGACGTTCACCTCCCCCTTCTCAAACTCTAGCAATCATTCTCCCTACCTTCAGGTTCACTTTTCTTAAACTTCCATATGAGAGACAACAGGTAGTACCTGCCTCTCTGAATCTGCCTGATTTCATGCACATAATAACCCGCCAGCTCCATCCTTGCTGCAGACAACAGGGACTCATTCTGCTTTATGCCCGAATAGTGTACATAGTCCTCACTTTTTCCATTCACCAGTTGATTGGCACCGGGTTGACCTAATGTCTTAGCTATTGTGGATAGCGCTGTGATAACCATGGGCACCCAGGTGTCCCCGTGGTGTGCGGACTGCGTCTCCTTTGGATGCACACCCACAAGTGGGATGGCTGGACCACATGGTAGATGTATTTTTAGGTTTATGAGGAACTTCCATACTGCTCCCCACAATGGCTGTACTACTTCACATTTCCACCAGCACTGTGTGAGCGTTTCCCTTTCTCCACCACCTTGCTAGCATTTCTTAAAAGAAATGATTAGAGCTATTTTAACTAGCGTGAGATAGCATCTCATTGTAGTTCTGTTTGGTCTTTCCTGGTGCTAAGGAGCAACTGATGGAGGTGAAAATACATTGTTGTGTGAAAACTACTCCATGGGTATGGAGAGCACAACCATATTGACCTGTGATTTACCTGAGCTGTTGAACGGTTTACTGGTGGTCTGATCTGTTGAATGGTTCACTGGTGCAAATCTAATGGTTTAACGGTTTCCTTCCGGAATGTGTGGGCGGAGCTCTCTAACAGCCGGGCAGCTGGAGAGTATAAAAGGAGAGGTTCGGTAATAAAGCAAGCAAGCAACATGAGAAGATAAGTGCCTCCCGTCTCTCTGTCCTCGTGCTTTCAGGTTTAGGACGTGCTGGCAGGATCCTGACGTCGCGGCTCGCGACACATGGGTTTTTTAAAAGATGTGGGGGTATGTGTGTCCGTGCGTGCGTATGCATACATTGATCCGTCATGCCACTTTGTACAGTTTAAGAATTATAAATGCTACCCACTTATAAAAATATGGAAACTTTAGCATCAGCCAGGATCTCAATGGAATAAAAGAGCCAGGTAATACCCGAGTTCCAGGAGGAACGAACAGAAAATACATTAGGGTCTGACTCTGAGGGCCTGGGCAGGTGGAGGCAGAAGGAGGGGACCAGAAGGCCCAGGAGGGTGCAGCATCCACTGTCCCTGAGACCGGGGGGAGGGGTGGCCTGTGCCTGAGCCTCTGCTCCTTGCCCCTCCCCCACCCCGGGAGCCCTTTGTGACGGGGAGAACACAGCTCTGTGATGCAGGCCTGGGCCCTGCTCCCTACCCCCAGAGAGAACTCTCAGGGCTCAGTTGCCTGAGAGCAACACTGTGATTCAGATGATGGAGAATCTTCTCATTCCTCTGAAAAGCCTTAGCGCCACATGGCTGAGCCCCAGCACCACTACCTTCGCGGTGGATATGATCCTCACCTTTGTGTGTGGACTGGGGCTCTTCCTTCTCTTACTGCCCTGGCTCGAGGGTGAACCATCCTTACCGCCATCCAGGAGAAACAGAAAAATCAGAAAAGTAAGACACTCTCAGCCCAGGCCCAGCAGACAGTGAATCTCTCTACTTTTACAAGTGTCTACTTTTCCAAGTCAAGCAGACAAGACTGCTGAGAGGGAAAACTCAGAAAAGAACAGAATATCCTTCCTCCGGGACAGGCAGGGCAGGGCAGGGAGAGTGGGCACCAGGACATCTGTCTGATGCGCTCAGATCTCTGTGTGGTTTGTTGACCAGAGTAAAGGAGAACACAGTAAATTCCTGACAGGTGGGGATCTTTGGAGAGGGCCAGGCCCCGAGCACTGGTTCAGTGTCCCAGGCTCGCGGCAGATGCCTCTGGGCCCAGTCTTTGCTCTGTACTGGGCTGAACCAGCAGCTGTGCTGAGGGCCTAAGTTCAGCCCCATCCCAGGCTGCAGCTGCCTCTGGTCTCTAGCAGGCGAGATGCAGCTTTGAAAGATGAAATGAGGTGAACTTTTGAGCAGAGGATCAAAGATCTCTTATAGGGGATGTCATGTTAGAAAGTTGCTGTGTTTCTACAAGAAGGACAAAAATATTGTAATTTTAAAAATGAGTAAAAGGAAAGAAAAAACACAGGCTCCTAATTAATTGTTGAGTAGCACAACATTCATGGATACTGAATGTCTGCAGCCTGTCTGAGAGAGAGGGGAATCCGGGCCTGGGCCTCTGACTACTTCCCTTTTTTCTCAGCGTCCTGGGCTGATGAGCTGGAAGAACAGGAGTAGGAAGAGGACAGGTGCTCTCAGAGGTAAGCTCTGCCTTTCAGTCTTTCAGTTCCGGAAGTGACACGGGCTCATCCCTGAGGACCAATGCCAGGGCTCCGAGGATGGCAGCTGCAGAGAGGGGCTCCTGGAACTGCAATCAGCAGAGTGGATGCTTCTCAGGCTCCCTGCTCAGAACAAAGCTGCGCTGGGACAAAGAAGGGTTTTGTCCAGTAGGGGGCAGTGCAGGCAGCAGAGGAGCAGCAGCCTGGATTTGGAGGTGGGACCTCCAGGTCCAACTGAGGCCCAACTGTTACAACTGGCTGAGGCTGACTCCTTTGTGGGATGACCCCATTGGTCCAGCACACACAGGTGTGAGGACCATGGGTTTGGAAGGGTGTGGAAGCAATTTGTACTGACAAAGCGCTGCCCATCTGTGTACCATGAAACCACTGTCAGCCAGGGCCAGAGGACACTGGACGCTGATGCTTGGGCTCTGGGGCCTGACCTCCTATGGTGTCCTCTAAGGGGACATTCCCTTCAGTAACCTGTAAAATCCCAACCCCCTGTTAACCGCTCATCCTCTATAACCCAGTTTCCCACTTCCCACATTTTGCAGACTGCCAGATTTCTCGGAGGTTCCATAAACTAACTTCCCTTCTGAAAAGGTAAAGAACTTTCCTCTTTCTCCTTCCCACCAAGGCTTGTGATGTCACAAAGCAGCGTTGGTCTAACCTGGGAGGGGGAGATCCTGGGAGTGAGGGATGTTAAGACCCTGGGGAGAGGAGTAGCAATAAAACTATAAAGTTCAGGGTGTGGGGCCGTGGAAGAGCCATGGCCCACCTGAGCTCACCCAGCCCCTGGCTGCAGCTGTGCCTCCTATTTTTCCAGATTGCAGAGGCTGCTCCCTCACCCAGAAAGCTCTCAACAGCCCGGATACCAAAACCGCCCTGCTGATGCGCGCACAAGAGCACCTGTCACTGCCCCGCAGCCATATGGGGAGAACGCAGACCCTGCTGCTCTGTCCCTGGCAGAGGCTGCCCCCTCTGCTCTCACTCAGCACCTTCCACCTCGGGCCTCCTCTCCATCGCCAGGCCCGCCTGAAACCTCTTGTGATTTTGTTTGCTCACCCACATCCCTCACCGCCTCTCAGATCCCAGAGCCCCTGCTTTCCCCGGCCCCGGCCCCATCCTGTCTGGACCCCCGATCCCCACCCCAATCCCAGCGCCTACCTCTAGGTCAGACCCAGACTTGGACCCACCCTCAATCCTCTCCCCTAGTCCTGTTAGCACCTTACGTGGCCTTCAATCGGGGCTGCGAAACCTCCTGCTTTACACCCCATAATAACCCACAGTCACTCATTCCAACTGAAATTCAACACCCAGGGAGGCCCTTGTCCAAGAAACACCTAGAACACAGGTGGGCTGACCCCTCAGCAGTCCGAAGCCCTCAGGAGGGTCACCGTCCCTGAAAAAAGAAAAACTGGCAACACATTTAGAAGTGGTTCATTCAACACCAGCGGGACCTGCCCTGCAGGATCCAGGAGTCTCAGAAGTCACACAGCCTCAGTATGGCTTAGCTCACTCATCTCAGGTGAAGGACAAACCTGGGCCTTCACATTTGTTGGTGTCTACAGGTGAATGCAGCAAGGATGTGCAGAAGGTGAGGTTCCAGCTAATTAGGGACTCAGGCAAGAATCTGGGGCATATTCTAGGCAAGGTCCCGAAAGCTCTCTCCGGGGCCTTAGGAAGCCCCCCAGTGAAGGTTCTGGGGGAGACCTCTGAGGCATCAGAGCGAAACCTGAAGAGGCCCATGGAGAGCGACACAGCCCATGACTCATTTGGAAGTACAGACAGGAAATACCTGGAAGGCGTGCTGGAAGCCCATCTGGGTGTGAAGGTGGGGCAGATCCACGAGGGGCTGATCCCTCTGAAAGTGCACCGATCCTGGCTCACTGCCAGCAGTGCCTTTTCTACATCCAAAACCCACATGGAAACCAGAAGCCCAGTGTCCTCCAGGAGTCAGGAAAGCTGTGTGAGCACCGTCCAGAAGTTTTTCTTCAATCCACGCATTCAGCAGGGCCTGGAGATGCACATTACAAGGTTCAGGGTGAGGTGCAGGTGGGGCGTCCCTCCTCCTCTGGAGGTGTGTCCTGGGCCGGTCTGACAGTTGAGGATGATGCCAAGTTCCTGGGAAAACCACCTTAGAGATGTCCAGGAGAGGAGGCGACAGTCAGGCAGTCTGTCCCTACACTGGGCAGTCTCCTTGTCTCCTCTCTTTCGGGTAAGGAGACCGAGAGGGCCCTGCCAGGGATCCCTCTTGCTCATGGCCAGGGGTCCTCAGAGGCCCCTCTAACTAGACAGGAGAGCAGGGGGCTCTCACAGGAACTCACATACAGCCTCGTGGGCAGAACCAGTGAGAGCAGGACAAGCCAAAGGGTTGGCAGAGGCAGCCCAGAAGTCCCCTTGCTTCCTGGAACATGTGTCGCCCAAGATGCACGAGAGCCAGGCCTTTGGGCAGACACTGTGAGCCAGGTTCAGCACAGAGTGGAGATCAAGTCAGTGAGCCATTCTGAAGTCTGTGTCTCAGGTGTCCACCTTCCAGACTCTTCCACTGACTCACTCTGTGCCTCAGACTGTTTGGGGTCCGTGGTGTCCCCGTGCCCTCACCACAGCATGCCTCTAGGGCACATGCTAGCTTCACAGCGGCCAGGTGCCATAACTGCAGACAGAGGGAACAGCCTGGGTCAGCAGAAGCTCAGTTTCCTGAAACATCAGCACTCACCGAAGAGCCAAAGCAAGACCCTTATCCCTGCTGCCAGGCATGAGGTTGGTAGGAGGCCCAGCTCAGGAAAACATGAGGACAGGTTGGGAGCCGTGGGGACCTCTGAGCCCACCCAGGATGGTGTAAGACACACCACAGAGAGTGAACACCTTCAGCTTCTCCCACAAAATAAACCAGGCCCCTCAGAAGGCTACTTCCAAAGAAGCATGAAGAAATTTCTACAGTGGATTTTACCCAATAAAGCAATCAAAAGGCAGGGAGACACCCAGAAAATGGGCAAGCCTGTACCTGCCACTGTCCAGAGCCAGAGACCGGCCATAAACAGACTTCGTGTGGACCATGACACTGATAAGACTGAGCTGCTCGTGAGAGCTGTTGGGCACATGCTAGAAGCCAAAATGATGCTTCAGCGTGAACTCTGCACCATGACGTTAAATCAGCGTGAAGAAGAAGGTCAAGCCCCAATCTCCCAGGCTTCCCGCTGCTCAGAGCACAGGAGAAAGCCAGGACATGCAGCCAGCCCCAAGTGCCACAGCTGTCCTGCCAGGGAGAGGCACCCCCGTGACCAAGAGTCCCTGAAAACTGGACAGCTCAACAGTGAGCAGCAGGGCTGGAGGCATCTGCACCCCTTCTTCCCCATCAAGTCTGGGTCCCCAGGCAGCCCCTCCCAGTGGGGCCCAACAGTGTCCCGGGCACTAGGCCATCAACATTACTGCCCAAGGCATGGTCTTTGGAGAAGCGTCTTGACGACAGCAGAAACATTTCTCCCCAGTCTTTCTTGGTAGAACAACACATGACCAGTAAAGAATTAGCTACGTAGAAGAAAATGACTTTTCTCATGTATCCTAGATATTACTGTAGCCCAATACATACCTATGTTTCCCCAAGAGGGAAATGGCTTCTGTCTGCTCTGTGCCTGGTGTGGGCTCTGGTGTCTAGAAGGGATGCAGTGTGGTGGAGGTGACGGGAACGCGAGCCGCCTTCACCCTTTGTTCCTTCACTCATCCCCACTTCCATCATGACAGGAACAAAAACTCAAAAACCGAGCTGAGGAAAACCAGTGGTGCCTCCCCCGCATCTGGCTCAGCCCATCTTCGCAGGGCTCCCCTTCCTTAAGGCAGCAGTAGGACCAGGGGCACAGAGACGTCTTAGGACAAGGGAACCTGAGATGTGACTCAAAGTCTGGTGACCTTTACATTTGTATGCAGCCCCAAGGCGGTCCCTAGAGGAGAGGGGGACTCAGAAGGGTCGAGGGCCTGCCCTGGGTTCCCACAAGTCCTGCCTGGCTCCCAGGCTTTGCTCAGCCCAGAGCCCACAGGGGAAGGGGCGGTCACACAGGATTTGTGCCACAAGGAGGCTAGAAGTGGCCTGTCCAAGTGTCTGGGGGCAGGGCCCATCTAGGAGTAGAGCACTCAGCTTCCAGCACACATTTCCCTTCCCTGTGGGTGCTGGTCCTCATGGAAAAACAGAAGGGCTCAGGAGGCAGAGCTAGAAACAGCCATTTCTCCAGAGAGCATTTCCCGTGCTGTGGGGCACACAGGGCAGCCACAGACACAGCTCCCGGGGCCTCCATCCTGTGGCCGAGCGTCCTATACCAGGTGCAGCTTCTCCAGGCAAAGGGAGTGTGTCCTGGCCCATCCATGGGAATGGGCTGCACCTGGGGTGGTGGGGGAAGTAGGCACAGACCCTTCAGGTCTGGCTGGTGGTGCTGCTGGCTGCCCTACAGCCAAGTCCCGCCTTGGGGTCCTGGATGCTTGTGTTGGTCCCCAGAGTGGGCTGAGCCATGACAATGGAGTAAAGACTGGCAGGAGTGGCTGGACCCTAGGACGCAGAGTAGCCCTGGTGCCTCGGGTGCTAAGGAGAAGGTGGCACATGGCTGGGACCCTGGCCTCAGGAGGGGCTATGTCTCACAGTGGCTGGGTTCTCTCCAGACACTAAGGTATGTTCTGGAAGGTGGAAGAGCAGGACACAGACCATGGCTCCTGCCACATAAGTACCACAAGCTGGCTAAGCTGATGGGCCGGGTAGAACGTGGAAGGAGCGTGTTCCTCTGTCCTAATGCTCAGTCTCCATCAGGTACAGCGAGGCCTGCAGTGAAGACATCCAGAGACCGCTCAGAGTGATGATCTGCAGAGATAGCACAGAGATCTCTCACCACATGTGTGTTTTATACACTGAAACCTCCCAGCCTTCATATAGGACCTTCACACACAGCTGACTCCATTTTCACCCCAACAGAGACCCCCACAGAGACCTCTTGGTCCCACACAGAACCCTTCCCCCAGAGACCACCATAGATTTCATAGATTCCCCGGGTCCTCACTCTTTCACACTTAACTCTTTCTAGGCTTTTAAAATACAGTATATTTGTGAAGAAACAAAGAACACATACTGAAGGCAATCAGCATCTCAATGTATCATAAAAGCAAACTACAAAATCCACAGCAAATAACATCCCTAAGGCTGAGATTGCTGGAGCACCTCTGAAAAATCAGGACCAAGCCAGGGGGTGCACGATCAATAATCAAACACTGCAGAGCTGGTATTCCCAGTTAAGGTGGAATGATAAACAAACGCCAGGATTTGGATGGTAGTTACCTCCTTACCCAAGCTATGTTCATGACCTCAGCAGGTAACAGCAGGTACAACGAAACAGGACCCTGTGCCTCTCACTCCACCTGTTATGGCAACAGCAGCCCTCGGGGGACGGCATGCGTTCCAAAGGGCTTACGGAGCACAGGTAAATCTTACTGCTGCTGTATTGGGGATCTTCCAAGCCAACTTAGATTGTTTAGTCGAGGAGGTCACACCATCTGGGTCATTAGAAGGCTGAACTTCCTGTCGGAGGACACAGATCTATCTTTCCCTCTCTTCCCTGCCGAGTACAAATACAAACCTTTGAAATGACATGAGCAACACCCCAAGAACAACTGCAATGCAGTGAGATTCAACACGGTAGCCCCACATCCTAGCCCCTACTCAAAGGAAGATGACAGCACGACTCGGGGGGTCCCCAACGTGACAACATTAAGCGGCCAGGCAGGAACATTCCTCCCAGAACTGATCCTGATCCCTCTGACAGCACAGATCCACCCGTGCCCAGCAGGACCTCAGTGCACTGCGGTACAAGTACATCTCTGGGGACTACCAGCACCCCCAAGCTGCCTAAAGGTGCCGCTGGCTCCCATCTAAAGATGCGCAGGGAGCCGGGCGGGTCCTGCAGACTGAACCTGGCACAACCCCGGGGCCGATCCAGGACGAGATCTACTCATGTATGTGACAACTGACTCTTCCCTGCATGCTGGTCTCCCAGGAAGACTGCCCAGGGCAGTGGCCACAGCGCCCAGACCCTGTGCTCACAAACTGACAACGGAGCTACACAGGGTCCCAGGAAAGTTCTCTGCTGCAGGGCAAACCTTTAGAGTGGGCCTTGGGGATATCACTTGGTGTTCCTCACCACCTTGTTTGGGATTCAGAACTGGTTCTCCTCTGGGTAACAGCAAACCCCATCCATAGGAGCTAAGGGCCCAAAACCCAATGCACGGGTTGACGGAAAAAAATGACGCAGAGAGTGGGCGCGGGAGTATTCAAATAGAGCACCCGGGAGACTTGTTCTGATTGGATAACGTGGAACTTAGAACTCCAACTCTGATTGGATATTACTTTTAGTGGTAAAGCCGATCAGAAAACAGAAGTTTGAAGCTGGTGTGATGGCCTGAACTTGTGATTGCAGCAGTCTGGGAAGCCGAGGCAGGATAACATGTTGGAGCCCAGCCTGACAATTTAGCAACTTAGGTGGATGCTGCCTCAAAATAACAAATTCCAAAAGGGATACTGTTCAGTGTGAAGGCTCTTGGTTCAGTCCCCAACACTGCAACAAATATCGAAATAAGAAAAAAACCCCACTACAATATACCACACTATACAGGGTGTTGATACAGAACCTCATTGTAGGATAATGAGAGAGAGTATTTGGGGACTGCTTTCTTTCGACCATATCAGTGCGCCTAAAGCTGTTCTTAAAATGTCTATTAAGTTTTTAAAAATCTATGTTCGTGTCCAATATGTCTCAAAGTAGTTAAAAAGTCAGATGTGTGCACATGTTAAGTTTCAAGGAAGTTTTCCTTATGGAAATGAGGTTGAAACAATAATCATTTTCTTATTTGGTTTGCATGTGTACTTACTTGTGTGATTTTAAAACAGCCAGCTTCTTCCCCTTTCCTCAGTTATGTAGATTTTGATGGTCACATATGTTACTGTTTTAGAGCGCTAGTATTTATTCATAACCTTACTCATATGAAATATTTATATGTACTTTCACTTCTCTGGGAAGCTTCAGGTTTAAAGAAACATTTCTGGGGGGATAATGCAGTCTCCCCTCTTCCCCATCCCTTTCAATTCTCCACTGGCCTGTGTATTTGTGTGTGTGTGTGTGTGTGGACTCAGAATAGTAGAAAATAGTAAAATGAGCATCACAAGAATGTCTTACACGGATTTAACGATTCAGTTTTGTTTTCTTTAGACAAGGTCTCACTGCATTCCAGGCTGGCCTTGAACTCACTGTGTAGCCAAGACTGGCCTCTAACTCTTCCTGTCTCAGATGCTTGAGTGCTGGGATTACCATTGTGGTCAACCACTTCCACCATGGAGAATGCAGAATTTCCTGTGGGTGGGACCTGTGCAGCACAGCCTGGGTTCAGAGCACAGTGACCAGGCTCTGTGTTCCAGACACTGCAGGACAGGTGAGCTCGGGCTTCAGGTGCCCCAGCAGGCCCTCCACTCAGCAACCCACCACCTGCAGCCAGATGCGACCCTGGGTGCCAGACTGTGGCACCTCGTGAAGTGCGTAAGTCACCTGGCTGATGTACTGGGGGGTGGGAAAGCAGGTTATTTTCAGAAATCTCCATGTAAGCCTTAGCTGCTATCCTCATTATTAGACACCTGTCCCCATTGCTTGATATTTCATGGTGTGGTCAGGATGACTGTGTTTGCTATAAACATGCCATTTAAATATAAGAAAAGCAAAAAAGGTTCAGTCTTCATTGCAGTGGATTCCTTGAGACACAAACAAGTAGATGAGAGTGGGAGACTGAAAATAAAAGTAGGTTTTACTTCCTGTCTCTTGCTCTTGCTAGTATCCTACCAGCCTTAAGCCCAGAGATGCCACTACCTTCCTAGAACTTTCAGAGCAGTCATGCAGAGTGTCCAGTCACCCATTTGCCATGTACAATGGTGAAGAGAATGTGCACAAAGTATCACCCTATGGTAAGTGGTAAGCTTTACACATGGGGTTTGTGGGGTCTCTGCAGAGCTCCTGGGTCAGATGAGGCTCCTGAATCCCTTCTGCTCTGTTCAGGCTGTCTGTCGTCAAATGCACAGATTGACATTCTTGGGCAGTGTTGTCCAGTAGAAAGGTAATGCTGCAATTGTAATTCAGAAATTTTCAATAACTACAATTTAAAAGGATAAAAGCAGTAGAGGTCAGGCAAAGCTAATACCCTGACCTAAGCAGTGGCCGGTGACATTGGCCAACCTGCAGGTGGCGGTAGTTGAACGTGCAGACCAATGGCCTCAGTGCTGGATAGCACACTTGGCAGTGAATGCCTGGAGTCAGATTTAGGGTGTTAGATGAAGGTGTCACATAAAGTGAATTTGTTTCTCAAGCCCAAGTCCCAGCCCCTCTGGAACAAAGTGGCTCTTATAGAAAGGAACTCAAGTGCAGGGTGAGTTGGCTGGGCCATGGAAGTGTGCACGGCAACCCATGAGGGGACCCGCGATCAAAACACCCCGTGCTGTACCACGTGATAGCTGGCCTGGTCCCTGACCTCAGCCAGGGCCATACCTCGGTGTCCGCACTGTCCCCACGGTCAGGCAGTGTTG